TCCTCTTTATTTATATATATATAATTGAATTTAACCTTTGTTTGGATTGAAGAAGTAGAGGAAATGGAGAGGAGAGTATGGAAATTCTATTTTTTGTATGTGTGGGTAAAATTAATAATGAAGATGGAAGGTGGAGAGGTAGATGGAGGAGACGAAAGCCCACTAAAAATCCCTTTTTTCTATTACTTTCAATTCAGGAGAATTTGGAGAGATTGAATATATTTTTATCTTTTAAAAGTTTTATAAAAAAAAATATAACTAAAATTTTCATTTTAACTTTTATATCAATAAATAAATTTATATAATTTTAATTAATTTTGTAATAAATTTTCTCTAAAACATATAACCTTTCTCTCTCCTCTCTTTCAGTTACTTTAAACTATTCAAAGAACCTTCCTTCTCCTTCCTCTTTCTTTCCTCCCCTTTCTTTTATTTACTTTTATCCAAACAACAGTATTGGTGGTAAAGAATGGTTCCTTTAGTCATTCAATTCTGTGTTGAGATGTCAGCTTTATGTTGGAAAATATGGGGTCCTTTGGCCTAACTCAGGAAAACCTTGGTTTTGGTCATCTTGTATAGTTATAGTCATAAATCAGGCCAAAAGCACACCGTATTGCTTTTGGGTAAAAGGACTAATAGGTATTAGAATGAAGGAAAGGAATTTTCCCTTTCCACTATTATGTGTTGGGTATGAGAAAAGGATGGATGAAAATAAAAGGGCTGTTTCCTTTCGTTGTTGCCTCTAGAGTAGTGCCTCCAAAAATTGACAATTTTTTCTTTTTTTCCTTTTGTCTCTTTCCTTTTGTTGAGGGTAAGGTGATGGGATAGTTCATAGGGAGTAGCACCATAATTTTTCAGGTAGTAGTTAATTAAAATGGAAATTTAGAGGCAGGGTATGCCTGCAGTTGCCTTTGTTCATAAGATTTTGAGTGCATGATTCCAAGTCGGACCAGAAAATGTTACCACAGGGAGTCATACCAGTCTTTTTTCTCAATTTTTTGAAAGAAAATGAATGCACTGATCTTACCTGTTTTTGGTTAGGGGACGAGTAAGATGGGATGAAGATAATCTTAGGGAAATTGAGGCAAACAAACATGTAGTGAAAGAGATCACTGAACCTAAAACACCATATCCAATGACTGGGGAAGATGGTAAGATGACCCCCCCCCCCCCTTTTCTATCCCATTTTGAAGCTCGCTGTGCAATTTAAAACATAGTTTGATTAGTTTATCCATCGTTTTGTTGACATACTCACAGGTTCTTCGTCTCCTTCACTGGACCCTTCCAATTACAATCACTATGACTATGAGGCACATGCCGAAGCCCTAAGAGAAGCCATACATAGAGCGACTCTAAATGGTCAGCAGATTACGTTTTTCGACAGATGTAGTTCATCTGAGGATCAGGCTGATGCCATAGAGAAAAATGAAGGTGCTAGAGTTATCTGCATAACTATAGTTTGTCTACACAGGACATAACATTTCTACATGAGTCTATTTCACCTTGTTCTTCTTCTCTCTTACCCTTATTAAATTGATCTAGTTGAATCATCCACTTAGTTAAACTGGTATATTCATGTCTTGTTCGCAGGCTATGTAAAAAAAATGGATGAAGAGGAATTCAAGAATAAAAGGAGAGCCCATTACGACGAGATTAAGAAAATTAAAGAACTGCAAAAAAAAGGCTGGAATATCGTGGATGATGAAGTAATAGACGAGTGGAGCCCAACTCAAGATCCAGGTGGAAGAGAAATTTGTATCAATGACTACGATGAGATTGTGCGAACAATTGATGTTGGGGAAATGGAAGAGAAATTGCCTAAATGCAACGTGCACTAGGGTTTTTTTACTTTGAACAATATTGCAACTCGGTCAGCTGGAGGCTAGTTTAGCTTATACTTTTCCTCTTAATTGTTGGAATGTTGTATCAATGTGCTTGGATCTAAGAGATCCAATATTCATGCAACGGTCAAGAAAAGTTGCTTGCAGAATTAGCAGCCCTGGGAACTCACTTGATTTTGTTAGGTTGACTGGGAAAATGATGCATGTATAGTACAAAATACAAGGCTTTTTTTACTTCTTTATGGGTGTCACTCTTTTTCCAGGAAAGGCTGCCTTTTAAAGTTCTTAAACAAGCTGCAGAAATTGAATATATATATGTTGAATAGTCATCTGGGGAAATCCCATCTGGCTTGGGATCCAAGAAGGTCAAAAAAAATATACATCTTTTCAAATATTTATACCTATTATTGATGATACCACTTGCCATTGATATCTTCCAATTAACACTATCATGTTTGCCACACGGCACAATTTGGTTCATTCCAAAATCTCCAATCAACCGTGCTGTCAACTTCTTATCTCAACGTGGCAAAAAATTTTTCTATTTAAATAATAAATAATTAAAAGAAAATGGAGCAGTATATTTTATAAAAACAGGTATTTTACATTATAGATGGTATATTAGAAATATCATTTTACTTATAAATTATTAAATTTTTTTTATAAAATTAAAATATTTTAATAAATTTATAAACTGAATTGTATTTTTAATATTCAAT